ACGCTAAATATACAGCAAAAATATGCTTTTATGATTGTTACTAGTCATTTAGAAGGTGAACATATTGCTTATACCGGTATGTTATCTCGATTTTATTGTCGTAAGGTTTATTTAGTCTTTATATTCAGGTACTATCGATAATCAGTTATTGATGTGTATACCTGGCTGTGGTGGCACTGGAAAACCTCAGTTGATTCGTGCACTCACCAAGTATTTCCAACTAACAAAACAGGGCAAGATGTTGCGTAAACTGGTGCCAACGTCTATAGCAGCAGCTGAGATTGACGGATTAACTATCCATTCATTTTTAGGTGAAAATCGCAAAAACAGTAAAAAGAAACAAACCCGTACATTTAGACCTGGTGATATGAAATTAGAAAATGAATGGCGTCATGTGAAATACTTGATAATCGGTGAGATGAGAATGGTAGAAGTTAGTCTTTTAGCTCGTCTAAAGCGAATAGTGAAAACAGCCAAGCACATAAATTCTGAGATATTTTTGGCGATGTCAATGTCATTTTCTTCGGCGACTACCTTCAATATTCTCCTGTTTTGGACAAGCCTCTATACTATAGCTGCGCACTGACACAGCAAATTACAGAACGTCAGATAGATATGTTGTGTGCCCAGAAGCTTATGTCTGAAATAAACTGCGTTATTGCATTAACTCAGCAAATCCGAACCGAAGACATAAGATATTTGGAACTTTTAAATAGATTACGAAATGGGCAATCGACAATAGAAGATTATCAACTTCTGTGTACGAGAGTCATAGGAAATTCAAAACTTCAAGTATCTCTACAACAAAAGCCATGGAACGAAGTATGCACACTCATTTTCTCTATGTCTCAGATTACTTTTCTTTTAATAGGCTCCAATACTGGTTTTCCGGAATACACTACGCACTCAGATTAACAATAGGGCTGTCTTAAACAAAACAATTAAAATGGGACTTACTCCAATTGTTTGTATTGCTCAACATTATATTCAAGGAAAACCTGTGGATGATCTACGATTACGTAAAGCCATACTTGAACTACCTGACAATAAATCCGAACATCTTCTAGGGTATTTACCTCTCGTACCAGGAATGCCAGTTTTACTCACAGAAAACATCGCTACTGAGCTCGGACTCTCTAACGGTACACGAGGAGCCTTCCATCAACTTGTATATGATGAACCACCTGAAGATGTTCGATACCACGATCAGAATTTTCCACCAAATACCAAGTTTATAACGCAACCGAAGTGCGCTTTAGTAGAATTTCCTGGTTGCAAACTTGATGAAAAACTTGCTCAACTGTCTTCCAAAATAGTCCCTATAGCTGTTAGTGAACAAACATTCCTGTTTGACGCAAAAGAACTTCTTCCAGAAAATGTAGCAAAAGCGGCCAAAATAAACACGAAAACAACAAAACTCACGCTCAAACGTATAGCACGTCCACTTATACCGGCATATAGCATGACAACACATAAAAGCCAAGATCGAACACTCGGTAAAATTATCGTCGATCTTGTCATGCCGCCTGGCCCAATCGAACTCGCATCGGTTTATGTTCCATTATCTCGTGTAAAGAGACTTGACGATTTACTAATCATACGTCCATTTGCATTTGCAGCACTTCAACTTAAACCGTCAACGGCTCAAATAGAAGAACTTAAAAGACTAGATAGAATAGCAGAAAATATTCAGAAACGTTGTCAATTCATCGCTTAAAATAACAACATCTTTAGAGTACCGTGATGTTCAGAAAAACCATCTAACTCAAAAAACTATATTGCATGCTCCGAATCTGTTCTTTTTACAATTATAGTCTATTGATCATTTGTACAGCTCGCACGAAACTATATTTCAAATAGGGGTGGGTGTGGCTGTTGTGGTGTGTGGGCGTCAGTGGGTGTTGGTATGGGTCTGGATTCGAATCTTATCTCTACCCACACCCACACACCCATACCCACCCATACCCACCCACACCCACACCTACACACCCACACACAGTCACCCACACCCACACCCACACCCACACCCACACACCAACATCCACACCCAAGTTGGGATCGATCACATTCCAAGAAAAACCGTGAACCGATCTCATCTCTAGTGAGCATTACTTCAAAGTACTCTTGTTTGAGGGAATATCTAAATGCCTGATTTTTAATTCTGAAATATTTAATAATTGAAATTCTAATTGAAGCTTGACATGGATGGTAAATTTGACAGTTTGATTTGGAACTCTATGGAGTCAATCTTTTTGACTGCTGCTTCAACTTCGAAAACTTTTTTCAATTAATATATACACTTCTTTTTTGTGCTACTTTTAAATAAATGTGTCTCTCTGATGGTTTTGTTTCCTTGAAACTTGATTATGAATTTATAAAGTAGTGTAATTTTATTCATTACTTAACATATGAAGAAGATACTTGTCGCTATTTATTCTGCATGGTCACTGTCGTTTCTATTCCGTCAGAGTCGGCTTTCGGAGTTTGATACAAGGCTCTAGCTTGATCACATCTGATTGTCAGTTCTATTAATGGAAAAAAACCTATCGAAATTACCAGTATATATTAGTATTAAAGCTTTTGAACATATTTAATAATCTCTCTTCGAAACTGTTTCTAGAAAATAAATGCCTTTGTGTTTTGAATAATTCGATAGGCTTATGAAGATAATTGGAAAAGGTGAAGATCATTTTCGATTGATAGTTTTGAAGATTTTTAATTAAGTCAGAAAATTTTCTATTGGATAAGTTTATATAGTTCAACATTTACTATTCTTATTTAGAAGATGTAAAATCAAGGTATTTGAAGTTTTGAATAAAATACTCGTTGGCAGTGAGTCTTGTATACATGTTGATACGATTGAATAAACCGATTCATAATGTAAAGAATTTGACGAATGATCAAAGTTCTTGTTTATTGAAACTAAATTAACCACAACTTGAACTTTCTTCGTTCGAATTGATCTGTTCAATCGTGTAAGAAGTTATACAAAATAAAATGGAATAAATTCGTAGTCAAAGTCTTACGAGAGAAGTCCTTCCCCACCTCCAACTGGTTAATCGCTTTTGAGTTCGAAGCATGTACATTACATGTAGACCCTATTGAGTTATGAATACCTTGAAAAGAGTTCGGGTCCATAGCTTATTGTTGCTGACATATTGTATTTTTACGATATTTTTCAGTACAATACTGTGCTTCGTTTCTTCTCAAGAACATTAGGAAAACTGATTTTCGAATTTCGATTTGAAAGTTATCGTAAAACCAAGCCTATGCACATAGTCCCAACTGAAAACGATCTTTGTCAGTTACAGTTTGATTTCAATGAATATCTAATATTAATATCAAGGGAAGGAATACTTTTAAAAAAACCATGGAAACAAATCTAGACTGATAATATTTAATATTTTCTTTGTGTTCAACTTATATTTTTATTTTTCTAGTCAAGAAAACCCGAAGATATTATTCCAATAATTGATAATCATGTTCTATTTCGTTTGATTTCTCTTATTGAAATGATTTGTTCGGATACAAATACATTTTCAACTGAACAACTAAAACAATTACTTGATAAATTTCTTCATCAATCAACAATTGTTCGTCCCTTATCAAATGCTGATCAACAACGTTTAACATCGTATTATTCTCGTCCAATATCATTAAATGATTTAAAAACATATTGTTAATCATTAAACTCAGATTTAAATGATTTTCTATCTTTATTTAAACATAGGCCATTAATGAATAATGATGAATTATATGATTTCTTAACTCAAACAATTATAAATATATTTGAAAATCGACAAAAATATTCCAATAAAAAATGTCAAGAATTAAAAAATCTTCTTGACAAAAAAATTTTAGGAAGAAAACGTTATCGATTAATTAATGAAGTATATGAAAAATTTCGTTTAAATAAAAAGAATCTTCCAATAATTAATCGAAATATTCTCAATCAATTATTAAATAATATTCTTTTACAAGATTATCAGGTAAACTAACAGAAACGTGGTCGATTTCATTGCTTGACGAACCCTTCTTCCCTCCCATCCTTTATTATATCTTTTATTTAATATTTTATTTCTTTTTTTTTCTTTCAAAGGCTCATGTAGAATTTCTTACTTTATTAGAAGAAATTTCTCAAATAATCGATTTCAAAGAAATAACAATTGAATTTGAAATTAATCGTTGTCTTTTATCAACAATAATACCTGTTATGATCAATACTGATTATTTAAATTTACCAAATTTTCTTTGTTTTCATGAACGTTTAAAGACTCTTGTAGAACAACAAACAAATTTTTTTTCATTACTTCTTAGTGAACAACAATATAAACTTATTCAATCTCGTTTAACATCAAAATCAAATATTAATGAATTAATTAATTTAATAAAAACAAATTTAAATGAAGAAAATTTTTTAGATTTAATTCATTTTATTCAAAATGATTTAAATGATAAAAATGATTTTGAAAAATTAATTCATTTTATACTTTATACATTTGATAATGAATTTTTATCAATTGAACAAACACTTGAAATATCAAATTTAATTTTTCAACATACAAAATTAAATAATAAAACATATAAAAATCTTCTTCAATTTCTTATTGATTTACTTCAACTTCATATTCGTTCATCACCAAAATTTTTTTTAAATTTAATTGAAAATAATCAAGAAAATAATCAAATAATTGATCAAATAATAATTATATTAAAAATTCAACATGGAAAATATGCTACTGCAGATTGGAAAAAAACAATGATTAATTTATTAAAAATTCTTTTTGATCGACAAGATAATTATGAACAATTAAAAGATATTGCTCAACAATCACCAATGTTTCAACAGATTATATTTAAACAACAATTAGAATCTTGTTTGAAAAAAACATTAGATAATCAATCTAATGAAAATAAACAATGTAAGTTTACAAATAATATCATAGTAAAAAAGAATAAAAGAAGTCATTATTTGTTATTCAATCATTTTCACATTGAGTACTAGCTATGTATTTAGACTAATATAAAAAATCAAAACTAATTTTAGTACTCTTGCAATTTTTTAAATTAAAACCTCTTCAGATGTTTTTCAAAATAATCCATAGTGTCAAAGTCTATCAAAAGTGGACTATAAATAAAAATACGATGAAAAGTAGCATGTCTTCACCTCCGTTCAACTAAACGGGTTGGTCTTTTTTTTTATGTTGGGAATAGCGAACTATTTGAAGATTCTTTCCATATGGATAATATTACAAAAAAATATTGCTTTGAAGTATCAATATCAACTTTACTAAAGAAATGTAACTTGAACATATATCTTGAGTGACTCATGGTAATTTTCACTTCTCATCTAACATGATGATAAGGAAACATTGAAAGAAATGTTATTAAGGATATCACATTGACATATATAGAATAAAGTTTTAGAGCTAGTATTATTTTAGCGTTATAATATGCCGGAAAATTTTAATTATTATAACTGTTAATTTATAAGCTAACGAGGGAATTACACGAACTGTTGCCTGTCGTTTGAGCTCACATTTAGCCTACAAGGATGCCTCGGTGAGACTAGCAAAAGTATAAAGGAGTTCGTCGTCATGAGCATTTGGAGACGACTTATGATCGTTTTTTGCTGCATTTTCGATCTGAAACTTTGCTCATAAATAACTTGAATGATTCTTAGAGTATCCCGGAAAGTTTCAGGTCGAGATTTTGTTACTTGATTTTCCAGTAAATTCCTAAAGTTAGGTCCAAAATTTAGTAAAACAATCGTAACTCGGCTCCGAAGGCCTATAAGAACGAACTCTTTTAGACTTTTGCTAGTTTCACCAAGGTATCCTCGTAGGTTCAATATACGCTTGAACGGCGGCTATCAGTTTGGATAGTTTCCTTGTAAGTAGTTTTAAAAGTTGGCTCTATATGTAACAATAATGTTTTTTGTCCATGTTTCTTGTCATGATCTTCGATGAGGACTGGAAATTAACGATGTGTTGCTCAATATGTACTGTTCTTACTTGACAAAAGGTTGTATTTCTGTATTGAAATCAATAACAATCTATTTGATTGAATCGAAATGAAGATATTCTAATTTTTGATCATAAAGACATCCTGTATGTTTAATACCTTTTTCTGAACTAAAACTATGTAACTATAAACAATTGTTTCTACATACGTTCTGAGCCATTCTGGAAAAAAATATCAAAAAGATAAAAAGCAAAAGCATTTTAGAGTGGTTCACTCTGAGCCAACATCTCAACAGAATAAATGTTTGGAAAGCGAAGTCAAATATAGCTCTTCTACATATTTTGAACCGACTAGAGTTATCAGGCGTTTACTACAACTTCATTAAACGTTATTTTTCCAAATATTTATTTGTTTGAGCTTTTGGCTCAGAGTGGAGTCCAGTAGATCCAGAGCCTCAAGGTCTATCCACTGGTATAAGTCCGAAGTAAAATAGTAATCAGAATGGCTCAGAAAAACTCTGGAAAGTCACAATTTTTTTTTCTCTTATTGATGAAGATATATTCTCTGATGTTTTTATTAATTCGCATCGTTTAGCAAATTTCACAGAGACTAATACTCTTACTCGAAAACTATTGAATTTAATTAGTATTTTATAGTTTGAGAAAATAGAGATTTCTTTTTATTGCATACGGAAAAAGGGGAAGAAGAGATTGATATTTTGACGAGTCTGAAATATTGTTCTTATTTAAGTAACTTATTTGTTTTTTAATTTTAGCTTCTGCTATTCCGAAAGATAATAATAAAAATGATCATTCTACTGCACATCGCGAAATGTTTCGTTATTTGGAATCAGATGATGGATCAAAGAATGTTTATGTAGTACAACAATTACGTGCATGTCTTCTTAATGAACAACTTTCATCGGAAATTTTACTTTCAAAATTTATACAAGCTCTTCAAATTATATTTAAAAATTCTCTAAAATCTACTGAAGTATCACTTGATGAATGGGAAACATTAATTGCTAAGAATCGTGGAAAGGTAAAAATTGAAAAAACTTGTCAAATAATATTCTTTACTTTTCTTGTTTGATTAGATTTTTGCAAATGATGCTCAATGTGATCAATTATTGATGGACATACTTTTAGTTCGTTTTAATATGCCAATAGATACATTAAATTCATTGAATCATTTGATTCAATCAAAGAAAGCTCATGAAAGACATAATGGTCTTAATAAATTAATTTTACTTTTGAAAAATACACAAATAAATAATGAAAAAAGTAAAATAAAAAATTTACCAACAATATCAAATCAATTGTATAATGTAATAACTCGAATTTTATTTGATCAAAAATTTAATGATCATCAAGTACGACAATGTGTAACAGCAACAAAAAATTCTTGGTTATTAAATAGTGATCATCGAGAAAAACTGTATAATATTTAGTTATAACATTTATTTTTGTTTTTTGTTTTTGTTTTGTGCTATAACAGGTGATTGGAAAGTTTTTAGACAACATATTTGTTCAGTTTTAACGCTCAAGAAAGTATGTTTGATGAGTCAAAATCTATGATTTTGTACTCTTTTCGACTATGAACTTAAAAATTGTTTATCAGTTTTTGTTCGAGAGTAATGAGATAATCTTTAAAAAGCTTGAAAAATTCGTTGGGACGGAAAATTTTTGTATTTTCCCTATTGCGATTTGAAATTAGAAAGTTGAGATCTTTATTAATATATCAGCTTGTAGATCAGAAGCTACCCTACAAAATGCACTATTTGAAGTTTTTTTTGTCTTTTGATATCACTTTACGTTTTTCCTAAATACTCATTCGTTGAAACGAGTTCTTGAAAAAATGCTTATAGCCTTAATTGGGCAAAAGCTACAGCTTAGTTCAATGTCATGTTTTGTAAAGAAGTGTTCACTCTTCGAAACGATCGACTTCGATAATTTTTAGCATGTTCAAAAAAACGGACTTATAGTGTTAATAAAAACTTGTTGGTTCACCATTAAAATTGATTTTTCAGATCTTTTAAAAAGTCGCTCGTTACTCTTGAACAAAAATAGACACAACATTTCGAAGTCCATATTCAAATTTTGGTCGTGACGTGTTTTTTTGACTCGTCAGAAATATTTTCTAGTGGCTCAAAAGTGAACAAACATTTTGTCTAAAAACTTTCCAATTACCTGTTATAATAACATATTATGATGCTATGTCCAGATAGTATCTAATCTGTGATTTGTTCTTCACTGATCTTTCTTTTTCATATCATAAAAATTATTTTTCTATGCAAAATAAAAAAAAACGTCCAAAAGGAACTCGTGTGCTATTATTCGTTATTTTCTTGTATTTTTTTTGTGCATTTATACTAAAATAAATTCTGTTACAAAACATATTAGTTTAGGTTTTCAACATAATATCAAGATGAAACTTGATCACATGAGTGATTTGCACATTGAGTTGATTTTTATCATCGGTTATTTGGCTATTTTGTTGATCATGATTTTATGCATGTATATTCACTTGACGATTATGGGGAGAAAATAAATAGCTTGTAGACGAATTCTCAATTCTATTCGAGAGTGTGTTGGAATATAATTCACTTTTTTCACATGATGATGATTGAAATTGCTGCTGTGAACAAGTGGAAGATGATTAGATAATCTTGATAAATTTCGCAGTTTTTCTTTCATAATTTAAGGAAAATTGCTTGTATTTTATATTCAAAAAAAATTATTAATTTTCATAATTATTATTCGTTTTCAAATAAAAGGAAAACAAGAACAGCTCCCTTTATTTCCAACATTAACATAATTTCATCGTTGATATAATCAGTTAACTTGAAACAACAATAAAATCGTATGAACTGACCTTATTGCGAGGGATCGATTCCTAATCGGGGATCTAATTTATTTGAACGATGAATATGCTTAGTTGTTTGAGTCGACCATCAAGTAAAGAGAGACAATCTCCAAATTGAACCGCATTAATAAATAATAGAGTAAGAATGGTAGTGAATTATGTAGTTGATGGAAAACTAGAAACTAACTAATGCGGATACTCATTGACAGATGATGAAACAATTGTCAAACGCTTTAGATTTTCGAAAAGAGCCATGATAGGTAGATAGACATTTCTAGTATAAATATCCGATCGTATCTCAATGTTATCTTATTCATTATTATGAAGAATAAGATCTGTTCTTTGATGTTGAAAATTATGTCGAAAGATTGAATCATCTAAGCAAAGAAAAAAGAAACAATATATATGGTTCAATGCTTTTCTACCGAATGAACCAAAATGATTGCAGTCTCTGCTATCTTGCAAATATCTCAGCACAATAAAATTGTAAAATTTTGAGCTTTTGGTCAAAAGACGCGCCATAAAATTCTCTAAGCGCACGATAATGAGATATCCTATTGATCTAGTTTTATCATAATTTTGAAGGCTAGAAATGAACATAACATTGACTATTTTCCTGATTATATCGCGAGAAATCGTTACCAATTTATTAGATCTGTTATTGGATCATGAAAATAAGAGTCGCAAAAAGATGAAGCAATATGACATACTAATGAAAAACGGCTAGGATCATGCAAAAAAGCTTCAAGTCGTATATGCCTAACAATTGGTGATTTTCCAACTCACTAGACTTAAACTCGTTAGATGATTCTATTTCAGATAATGTCAATAAAAACATGAATTATTTAAAGATGAAAACACGAAAAGATTCGACAAAAGAAATGAAAGAAGATGCCAAAATATGAATGTGAGTTATCTTAGGAAGGAGATCGAATCTTTTCTCTCATGAGTTCGTGCAGTTAAGCAACATAATCGTGATCGGATTTTTCATTTCAATGGTCTTTGAAACGCAAATGGTAATATTATGGAACATGTGGCGGTACGGTGCGTCATCACCTCTATTGTCATCTTATTTCTACTCTTGTGCATAGTTCTCCTTATGCTCTATCTCTTTCAATGTTTCATCTTTTCACGCTTTAACTTTAAGATGTAATTGTTTTTTTTTCATTTTTGTGGCGCTCACACAGAATTGATATGTATTTTCTCTCTGAGTGATACATATAATAATTTCTCTCTATATAAAACATAATTTGCTTCTACCTATAATATCGACAACCAGAAGAATAATTCTTAATTTTACATATATTAATTATATAACGTCGAGATTGTCACATATCTATCAGCATCTCAGAGGATTTTTGTTCCAAATATAGAAGAAAACTATTTTCTAATGTTATTTTCATTTTTATTTCTCACGAAATAATGGGGTGTTTTATCATCACGCAGTGCTTCATATATAGTCTTAGAAAAAAATTATCAAACTAATTCAATAGGATTTCTTATTACCATTCGTGTGGAGAATTTCACGGCACATCTTTTGACTAAAAGCTCCGGATTATACAATCCATTAATGTTGAAATAATTGTAAAATATTTGATGTTGCAATCATTTTGGTTCATCCAGTATTTTGATTACTTCAGAAAATGCTAAATACTAACTTCTGAAATAATGAGAAATTTGCTGTTGATCGAAATTGAAGAGCTCTAGAAAAGTCAAACTTGGATAATTACCAGCAAGAAGAATTACATTCCATAGATGTTGTTTCGAGAATGAGTTTTTTGATACAGTGATGAGTTCAAGGTAGTATATAACTATAAAATCGATCAAGTTCATTATCAATAATTGATGGTCTTCTTATATATGATTTTCATACGATCTTGTGCTCTGATAGAAGATCATACCATAAGTTTCGGTTTGTTCTTACAAAAATCATAAAAAATCCTACTAGCAGATTCGTTGACCTGGGTAGCTATTGGGAATTCATTTCAATGAGTTAATTAAAATGATTCCTTCTAATTATTTACTTTTTTCGTCATTTTATAATCCTCCACGTCTTCGAATACTCATTGCACGAAATCAATTAAGTATTTTTGTCTAATCCATTCTCATATCATTATTTCATTCTCCTTGTTGTCTTGAAGGATTTCTTAAGAAAATTATATTGAACTTGTTTAGTTTCACTCCTTTTGTGACTAGCTATGCTTCGAGTGTTGAGATAGCCGACTGGGAATCTCATTGATCGTCAAGCTTCAGATGCGTTGATGATGGTCAAAGACAGTTTCTGGTCAGCTCGTAGCTGATAGTTAAGAAGCCTTACATATAAAAATCATGTGCATCCAGTAACTAAAAAGTTATTAGTAATTTTCCCATATACCTTTCATAAGCATATGCGGTCGATAGCGATGGCAATGAGCCTCTCTATTCAGTCTTCCACTAACTTCTCACTGCGACTGATGCTGCTGTTAGAACACTCTATATACCTTATAATAAATCACTCAAATTCTTGATCATGTCGATAATCCCTTTCATACACATCATTATGAATTTTTCAGACTATTTATAAAGTCAATAATCTCCTTCATGTACCTTGTTATACACCCTTGAGGCTCTTGA